AGTAGAGCAGTATTTTTTTTCTAGACATTTTCTAAACCTGAGTGGGAATCACCAGTGTCATAATACCCTGATTGCTACTGTACAGTGGACTTCAGGACATGATTTAGTGGGCATGGTGGTGTTGGGTTGATGGTTGGACTTGATGATCTTGGAGGTCTTTTCCAACCTTAATGATTCTATGGTTCTATGATGGTAAAAATGAGAAAAAAATATTTGTGCAAACTAAATCCTATTGACTCAAGCTCCTGAACTGAAATTCACTGGGGACTTTTGGAAATTTTAGTCATTTCCCTAAGCTTTATTTTGGAATATTCTGAAAGCTAACACTGTGATCACAGAATCCAAGATTTTAAAAAGGTTTAAGAATAAATTTAAATTGAATTTTAGGTTGGCCATGAGGAAAAGGTTCTTGAGGCAGAGGGTGGTGGAGCACTGGCACAGGCTCCCCAGGGAGGTGCTCATGGCACCAAGCCTGACAAGATGCCAGCAGCATTTGGCCACCATGTGCCCTCAGGGACATGGTGTGAATGTTGGGCTTGTCCTGTGCAGGGACAGGAATTGGACTCCATGATCCTTGTGTCCCTTCCAGCTCACAACATTGTAGGGTTCTATGAATATCATGTCATTTATTGTGGTTATTCTGCTAATCATTTGAGCTACTAATGTTGTAGTTTTTTCTTAGAAATTTGGAATTCTACATGCTTAATGTATGGCTATACATATTAGGAACAGTCAGAGAGTATTATTTACTGCTACTGGAAAATTTTGTGAACACAGATAGTTCTCAACAAGAGTTTTTGTGTTGAGAGCCAATACATGGTCCTTGCAGTGAAGAAATTTGCCTTCTGTATGGTACCCAGATGAAAAGAGGTACCTGTTGAACCTGTACCTAGAAAGGCTGTTGTGTTAAAGGTGGCAACAAATGTACTTATTTAGCCAAAGCTTCCTGGAAAATTAGATGGTGGGTGCAGATCAGGTTAGCAAACCCATTGTTGTATGAAGGTCTGGCAGTTGCCTGAGCTGTACTGTTAAGATTTTACTTGCCATGTATAATTAAAGACATGGCAGGCTGTTAATGTGGCAGCAGTTAGGTTAACCCAGGGTTAAGACAACAGCATCCAAGATGCAGAAGTCAGAAGAAGGGGTGTCAGCACCTCAGGAGCTGTTTGCCAAGTCGTTTCCATGCGCAGAGAAAATCTTAAACTGACTTTGTTGAAGTTGGCATCACTTGACTCCCACAGACCTCAATTCTTGTCACTGTGGGAGGATGCCATACATAAACTGAGCTGACATGAATAAACAAGTGCAGTGTTCTGCCAGGAATAGTGCAAAGGTGATGGTTGTGTGTCCTGCCAGCCTTTGAAAATATTCTTGAAAGTGTTTTTTGTGGTTTCCTAGGCAGGGACCTCACACAAATAAAACCAGGAATGCAATTTACCCCGAACCATAAGCTAATATAGACTTCAAAGAGAATAATCAATCAGAAAATGGAAAGCGTTCTGTGGATAAATTTCTGTTTGCAGATGTTCTCTTTTCACTTAATTCTGTGGTGTCGGCAGCTGGACTGTCTCAAATGTTTTGCAGCCCAACTGGTGAGAGTACGTGGATTTGCTGGGGAGGGAGCTTTTCAGTTTTCCTTTGAGAATGAATGAAGATAACTCTTAGCTTTACTATTAGAGTTATCCAGAGAAGGACATACCTAATCAATCTATAAATCTGTGTGTTTTTAAAAAGAAGACAAAACCTGATCCTAAACTTTTCATTACAAGCACTAGCAATCCTATAAATCATATTTGGGTAGTACCTGGTACTCTAATATCACTGCAGAATACACTCTGTGCCCCACTTGCTGGGTGAGAGGTCAGGAATGTGATTTTAATAACGTATGTGTAAGTGAGAAGACTCCAGACATAGAGGTGGCAGTGGGATTGCAGTGCTGATGGGGAGAGCAGGGCAGTTCTTTTCCTCACTGGCAAGTGCTTATTGCTCTGTGTAAAAGGAATCGGTCAAAACAGCAAAGGGTTTTGTGGGCATCATGTACTGTAAATGTAGAGCCTTAGAGGTGACTTTTCCATTAGCAAATTGAAATAAAGTGGAATTAGAATAGCACATTAAAACTAAACGTTGCTCAAAATACCAAAAGCATAGTTGCCACCTGAATTCTTTCCCTAGCTGGAGTTGTCCAAGTCATCTTTTCACTTTGTGTCTCTGCTAGCCTGTGCTCTGCTGAAGGACCAAGAAATTCATTGATCACCCTGTTTACTCTGTGTGACTGATGTCCTGTAAAGGATTCAGCTAACAGGAACCAAATCTGATACTGTCAAATAAGATTAGTGGCCAAGCTGGCAGACTGGAGCTCTGCCTGAATGCCTGGTGGATAGGGGTCAGTGGGTTTCTTTGAGTATCTTCAGCAGGTTGGTGGTGTTGGATTTCGTATTTCACAATGTCTTTGAGATTAGTCTCTGCTCTCTGGTGACCTTTTTCCTCTCCTCAAATCTATATTCAGATAGCTCTGATTCCTTCTCCCGTTTCTTTTGTCTTGTGAGCTCTGCGGTTCATTTCTGTAAGAGAAACGCAGAAGGGAAAGCAAAAGCTCTTCAACATGCAGTTTTGAACTTTGAGGATACCATAGAATCCTTCCCAGAGAGAGTTTCTAAACGTACTGAGGCCATGGGAGCCCTAAGTATGTTTGTGTCCAAATTACACCCACAACACCCTGTACTGTGTCATTTGTTCCATTTTATCTCCAGTATAAAACTGCATCTTTTTTTCTGAAAACGCATGTCACATTTAAACTATGATGTTGCCATTTAAGCCAAAATATTCTTAAACCATCCTAAGTTAACCCTCTTTCCATGTTTTGATCTGCAGTGGCCGTGAAGACCTCTGCTTCCATTACCTCCTGACTGAACTAGTACTCTGATTAAAACCTAGGATGTAAAGTGACTGATTGGTACCAAGAGTCAATGTTTAAATCTCTGAACAGTAGTAAAGTTTCAAATAAAGATGTCAGTTTTCCTACATGTGAAAGAACTTCTCAAGAACACTTTGTGTTGGCTTCTACTTGGAGGGGGGGGGGGGGCAAAACAAGCCCTGATT